CTATCCCTGTGCCTTGCTTGTTCTACAATAGTGCTTTACATCTCAATCCTATTCAAGAACTTAATAAGCAGCTCAAACAGTGTATTTTACTCATATCAAACTATAAAATCACATCTCAAAGCAACTATCAAGTCAATCACACCAAAAATGCGCTAAAAATCAACTTATCCGTCACTTGTTACACCAGATTTTAGTAAAATTGATTTTAAACAGCAGCAATAACCAGAAAATATTAATTAACAAAAGAAAAACAGCCTAATGTACCAACTATACAATTTATTTGAATAAAAATTGACTCAATTTATATATACAGCACATATCTATGAAGAAAGAAAAATATCTATTTATGTCCCATGCCATTAGCTGTATGTTTAGTCATTTTTCATTAACAATTTTTTTTTTTTAAAAAAAAGAGCCTATATACAAGCAGCAGCAACTCTATAGCTTGTTGAACATAGAAAAATTGTAATAAATAATTTAATCTATAATTAACATACACACTATTAGGCAGGCAATGGTGATGCCAATATATGTAACTGTACAAAAAAAAATATATAAGTTTGTACAATGAGACAAATGTAGCAGATACGAGCATATTAGAAAAGAAAAAAAAATAATAATGTAATCATAATAATAGTGAGTAAAGTAATTTAACGACTCTATGTACATGTAATGCAGGAAAATAATAAATTATCATGTCGTTTTGTGCTTTAAAATACATCAGGAAAACAAAAATATTGAAGTTACATTTTGTCAGCTCGTAGAATGAAGGCCAAAAGGTCATTAACTATCAAAGTAATTATGAATTTATGAGAGTAATTACTATGGAGTGGGTGTAGTGCATTTTTTTGAGGTTATGGAGGTTAATTGTGACGGAAATGTGTGAAAGAGGCTGGAGAACATGGAAATTATAGCCAAATCTTGAAGACGAGAGTGTGGAACTGATGAAATGGTTATAAAATGATCCAAAAATGATCAAAATTTTATTTATCAGTTCCGTACCTTTGCTTGAAGTTTGCATTTGGTTCTCTTTAATCTTTCATTCATATAGAAACTTAGTAACAGTGTTGGGAACGGATTCTATTAGAACTCCCCCAGCACTAAGCTGGCGTAACTCTTGTATGGTGCTGGATTCGATTTGAACTCAATTTTAGTTCGAAATCGCCTCAAATCGAATCCAGCACCATAACAGAGTTACGCCAGCTTAGTGCTAGATTTCTTTTCGATTAACCAACTTGTGCTATTCAGGATCATGAAAACCATTAAATGTTCTTAATAATCGACATCAAATCTTGAACTTACCAAGATTAAAACCTCAAATCTTGAACTTACTAAGATTAACACCTCAAATCTCGAACTTACTAAGATGCAGACCTCAAATCTCGAATTTACTAAGATTAAGACCTCAAATCTCGAACTTACTAAGATTCAAACCTCAAATTTCGAACTTAGTAAGATTAAGACCTCAAATCTCGAACTTACTAATATTCAAACCTCAAATCTCGAACTTACTAATATTCAAACCTCAAATCTCGAACTTACTTAAATCTTAACATCAAAAAACTCGCTCAAACCTCAAAGTTTCAATTATCTACAATAAATTTTCCCATTCAACTCATTAAGTCACAATTTAACCAGTCAACCAGCCACTGAACAGCGAAAAACAGACACAAAAACACTCGCAAAGTATTCAATTAATAAGAAGCACCAAGCAATTTGTTCAATATTGTGTAAATAATAAAGCGACAGAAGGAGAAAAGGTGCCATTCCATCATTATTATTATTATTACAATTTATTTTGCGATGTTGTCAATTTTCTTCATTCTCTTGAATTAGCATTAAAAAAAATTCACTCGCGTCTGTTCCATCATTAATTTCGTTTTCAGCACACCGAGAGAGTGAGAGGAGTACATAGATATATTTTTTTGGCTTGCATAAATGACGCCAACGGAGAGAATTTCAGCAATACAGATATAAACAGAATTAAAATATTTTTGACGACGAAGCGTCGTACACGTTGGCTCCGGATGGAGTTTTATTTGGTAGGAAGAAGAAGCTGAACGCGCCAAAGCAGCAGTTGTGGCTTGTTACTTTTTATTATACATTACAATTTTTTTTGTTGTTGTTGCTGCGCATCCATAATGACCATGACATTATTTTTTCGTACTCACATCTCTTGCCTGACTCTTTTTTTTTGACTAAGATGATGATGAGTCCATTCCGTGAGATGTCTAAAAAGGTACGGCTTTTGAGACGCCGAATAATGAAGAAGATATAATTGAAAATTATGGATGTGAAGATTGAATGGAGCTAGACAGATCTATAGAATTATTTATTACATCCATACTTAACGTGAATGTACCTTTCATACTTATTAAAGCCATTTCATAAGGCTAAGCAGAAATAATTTCCTCATTTATGATGCAAACATGATAAACGATGAAACGTTTGAAAGCTAGACGATGAAACATGTGCAGAACATGGCGACAAATGACGGCAATTCAGACAACAACTTTATTATTTTTCATGTATATTTTTTTTTCTGGTTCTTGCACCACCACTCGCTCTTCGAAACGAGTTTCTTCTCGGTGGAATTTAAATGTTTTTACTTGGAACTTTGAGGATTTGATATAAGTTGATAGATGATTATACTAGGTTTGAGAGTAGCTATGAAACTTAACATTCTGAAGACAAAGATTTCTAGATTCCAACTTAGACCATCAACAGCATCAGCTAATTCTAAAGCACTCTCAACAATAGCCTAGCATGAATTTACAAAATTACATAAAACATACCGAAAAATAATTCAATTTTCATTGCCGGCGAATTGAAATTAATTTTCATACACACTAATTACAATAATAATAATAAAAAAAAGGCAAGTGGCAGACAGAGAGCAAACAGCGGAGATGAACGAGACGTTTCATTAATGAACAGTAACAAAAAAAAATCTCTCGAGTGCGAAGCTCAAAATTGTTTACATTTCATGAAAAAAACACATTCGACAGCAGTCGGTCGAATGAAAATCAATTCTTTTTTTTTGTGTATTGTATTCGGAGAAGTTTTAAGCTCATTTCAATTCATCAAGTCTTATACATGAGTAGGAATAAGAAGAATTTAATATTTTATTCTCCTCGTCTTCTTACACACATTCGTTGTCGTACAGTGCTGGATAAAATGGAATTGAAATAAAGCAAAGTTCAAAAATTCCTCAATTACACACATCTCTGCTTGATTACGAATAAGATTTCCTTAATTACATTCATTGCGTAGCCCGAAATACCAATTTTTTTCGAGAAACAAATTCATTAATTTTATTCTTCTTACATCCAAATGTCTAGTCAATATATGTATTTGGCTACCGTTTCTCATCTCATCATTTGTTAATGAGATCTATTGCTGTTATTAATGATGATGATCATGATCTGTGTGGCTTAGACTTCCTTCTTCTCGCGAATTATCTCTCTATTCTCTTCCATTGCTCTGCTCTGCTGCCTGCTATGATCTCAAGTGCCATTTCTTCTTACACATTACGTTCATCTACTTCTTTTTCGTGGCTATTGAAAAGTCAAATTCTCAGCAGTTCATATTCTTTTAATGGATATTTGAAGAGAGAAATGGGATTATGGATTTACTAAAGGTGACTGGATGGCTGGTTGGTCTTGAACTTGAATTGTTGTAATTATTGAGGACATACTGTCCGGTAATAATTCACATTTTACACTTTTGTATTTGTATACATATTAATTAGTATTATGTAGGATCAAGCTTCTAATCTTCATATCTAGGTTTCAAATAAACTAAGGCTCTCGTTTCGATCTTCTGTAGGCGTGACGTGATAGTTTTCAGGTCCGTTCAACAATATTCCATTCGTGGGTAATCTTGTAGCTCTCGTTCCTATTTCTCCCACTACACTTCAAGTGCCTGACCCGTTCCTTAATCCAACGTTGCCCAAATGCCCAATTATGGCTTGATCTCCTACATTAAGCAGCCGAAGTATCTAAACTTCCGAAAAAGAACAAATTTGGAAATGGCTGGATTCGAACCGACGACCTTCGAGTTACCATCCCAAATTTGTGCCAAACGCCTTACCTATTCGACCAGCAAAGCACTTAACTGCTTGATTAACTTATTGATATAAAGACTGGACCTAGTAGCTCAAATATAAGCTATCTAGCTCCCTATTAGTGTTTTAGCAACAATTAAATCCGATCCAAGCCTTTCTCTAATCGAAGCTTAAAACAATGATGATGATTAGTTCCTATTGATCCACTGTGAATCGTAGGGCGTTAATAAAGCGGTTGAACAGGTTTCTGTCCCTGGCTATAACAGCTACAGCTAAGCTTAAAACAAAACGTTCCACTCAAACTCAAGACAACGATTTCGATGCGTGAGGCATGTCTGGTTTACTTTACATTCTATTATGAAAAATGTCAGACATCGATTGACGATGTTTGTTTGTTTAAGTGTTTCTATGTACAGAACGTCTCAAAATTTAAATGCACAGAAAAATAATTTACTTTATCGGAACGCAGCAACGTGATAGTACAGAGAATAGACGCAATTAGGTGTCTAAAAATGTATATTCATTGTTTCCCACACAATAACAGAGATTCCAGTTATTTATTTTGAGATAAAACAAATGAAATATTTTAGATTTATGATAATCGAGTGCTTAATATAGCTCTGGTTTGTTGATTGAAGACAGAAAAGTGCGAAAGATAAGCAAATGATAAGGAAAGGTCAATGAATTTCAAATTGGATAGAGCTTAACCAAGTATAAATTGAACAATGTACAGCCTAAAATTGCTGAATTGTTTCTGTGACTTTTTGCATAAACTTTTGTTGATCACAAATTGCGTTAATTTTTGGATTCGCACGTTTCTTGCGCAAAATATTCATTGTCATCAGTTTTGTGTGTGAGTTTACTGTGTCGACCTTTACATTTGTGTCTCAAAATAACATTTGGTAGAGCTTTAAGATCCAGAATAAATTTAAATATTTCCAGTTCCTTATTAAAACTCCTTTCACGCACCAAATTGCTATACGGATTAATCTAATTTTTATTGATTTGCCATTTACCTTATACCCGACGCAACATTTCAAGGACATCCAGCATTGTTTTTGCATAACATAACAACTTTGATTGCGTTTCTAAATTTGAATATATTCCAATCCCAAAAATAGACACTCAAATTCGTACGTGACTACTGCTTACGATTCATTTATTCTTGCACACAAAATGGTTACATCACTCAATGGACAGTCATTGCTATCAGTTTCGACATTTCCAATTCTCTTGATCACACCCATTCCACTAGAAATACGTCCAAAAATTGTATGACTACCGTCCAAGTGTTGGCATGGAGCAAGAGTGATGAAAAATTGACTGAAAACAGAGACACACAGATTAAGTCAGACAGTAATTGAGACTTAATGATCATAATATTTCACCTTCCATTAGTATTTGGACCACTGTTTGCCATTGAAACGATTCCAGCGCCTGAATGTCTTAATTCCGGATGTATTTCATCATTAAAACTCGCGCCATAAATTGATGTTCCTCCTCTTCCCGTCCCAGTTGGATCTCCTGTTTGGATCATAAAATCTGAGATACAGCGATGAAATTTAATTCTATTATAAAAGCCACGACGAGTTAATTCAGCGAAATTGCGACAAGTTAATGGTGCATGCTTCCAATACAGCTCAATTGTAAAGTTCCCAAGACTAAAAATAGAGATTTAATTAAATTTATCAAGAATTTTTTGAGGCGAACTTAAAATGTCAAATTTACCTCGTTTCTAGCGTTACAGATGATGGTTGCCATGCTTTATCTGGAATTCCGTTTCTGTTGATCATCATAATGTCACAATTTATAATTAAATCTAATTAATTAATCAGAAATTTTAAGGAGTTTTGATTGTTTTGATTCTTTTCGCAAATATTTTTTTGCTTAAACTGATTACGTGACGTAAATGTTTCCAAGGAAGTATAAAGCCATTCACTTATTACGTTCGCATTTTAGGGGGGAGGGGGGGGGGTTTGAAAAATTGTAACAAAATGTAACATAGGGGGGGGGGGGGGTTGTGTTTTTACCACGTTTTTCATTTATGAATTATGAACGTTCAGTGAAGGGGGGGGGGGGGGGGGGGGTGGTGTGAGAACACCTCCAGACAGCTTTGTTACAAGATAACCATCCACTAATTTCAATCAATTGCTTAAATTCACAAAAATACACAATACAACAATAATTTTTTTGTGCGAAACAGTCGTCGATGGTAGTCAAGCATCTATTAATAGCATCCCTTCACTGTGATAACTCATTATGTATTGAAATTTATGGCAAACGTTTGAACTCTCAAAATAGAATTTTAAAAACCTATTTTTTATTATTTGCTGATATTGAAATAACAATAGCAGAATTCTGTGAATAACAAGCTATAATCGAATGGAAAAAAAAAATTGAAACTAATGTGTCCAACAACAAAAATGGTATCGACGTCGTCGCGACTGCTCAGTACTAGACTGAATACTGAATGGAATGAATTAAATTTTGGGAATTGAGATCAGTTTGGATTGGGAATTTTAATGCGCTTTTTGATGGGAATTTGCAGGAACGTAGGGGATAAGGGGAGATGGTGTCATGCAGACTTATTGGACAGACCCAAACTGCCTCAATACCGAAAAAATAACTTCAAAAAGAATGCTCAAGAAAATCATTTACACTTAAAATTGCGAAATCGAAAACAATCAGAACATTTTTCAATCATTTTTTTGGAACATTAATTTCCGTCTGTAAAATTGTATTTAAAACTGAATTTTTTTTTTATGAATTATTCTTCACTAATTGTACGAATTAAAAATAGAAATAATTCATCCATCCACAAAAAAAAATGGCAATAAAGCGTAAAACAACAATATGAATAGTCGAGTGAAGAGCTCCCAGACGGCTAGATAATATCAATTAATGTAGCTACTATTAAAGAATGAAATTATATTTCTCTTATAGAATCAATAAAGTGCTAAAAAAAGAGATTGAAATCATAAGTTTATGTAAATTCTCTTGCGTGTTTTTCATTCTTTACGTTCAAGGTCATTTCATGGCAAAAAGTCTTCTTTTTTTTCTGCACATATGTGAGTCGAGCTGAAAATAAAAAATTGAAGAATTGGAGAGCAAAATGAAGACGGAATAACAATAATAATGATGATGAAGTATGTACAGCTGTGTATAACTGAAGTATGTAGTCTCTCTTTGCAACAACAAACAGCAATAAGTCGTGAAATCTCATTCGTATGATCTTGAAATGTTTGAGCAAAACATGAGTTTGTGGTTCAATTGAATCTAGCGATATTTGTGGTTTGTTCCTTTCTTAAATCCGAAAAAATGATCTTTAATAATAGTTACAATAATAGAGTAAAATAAAATCAATTTTTTTTTATTGCTGTGTACTTCAATTACGCCAATTACTCTTTGTGTTTTTTTGACGTTAAATCACGTTAAGATCATAGTGAACGGAACATGAAGAATTTTTGAAGCTTGGTCAGTAGGTGATGGACTCTAAGACGCATAAGTTGCGTTGTATTGTTAGTTTAAATGTTTTGCATCTGTAGTTTAAGTTTCGCATCTTTTTTCTTCAGCTTTGCATCTTTCTAATCAGATTTGTTGAGTATTGCGTCTTTCTGATCCATTTCTGCATCTTTTGTTTAGTTTTTCTGCTTCTTTCTGTCAGTTTCTGCTTCTTTTAATACGTTTTTGCTTCTTTTAATCAGTTTCTGCTTCTTTTGTTCAGTTTCTGCATCCTTTACTTACTCCTGCATCATTTCATTCAAATTTTAATTAATTTACCAAATCTTGAGTCTCCATTCTAACTTGCCAAACTATAACCACACTTCCATTCCTCGCATCTCCATCTAATTCACAGCCAGCCTCACAAAACTAGCTCATTATAGCACTTACAACCACAAAACTAAAAGCTAAGAAAAAATAATTTTCGGTCTCCGAAACGAATTTTCAATCAATTTAATTTGTCGCCGTCTATGCCAAGACTCGAGCTAGCTTTTTGGTAGCCCATTTTGCAAATTACGAAATCTATTTTCTGTTGCTACTGACTGCCAAACAAAAAAATTAATTTTATTTTCTTATTATTCGAGCTTCCTCCATGGAAACCTCATTCAGGGTCGTCAATTAGAATTTTAATGGTGAAGAATTTTAATGAAAAATTAATTAAATAATTTGAGTCAGAAGTCACAGATGAGACGAGATCGTCTCACTTTATTCGTCATCGACTATAATAATTCTTTCAGGAGATTCGCTATAATCGTGTGGTTCATGTGCTAATGTATTAGTCGACACTCGTCTCACACAGTGTCAGGTCTTTTATTACATTTTTCGAAGATGGAAATGGATTTTTTGTGAAAATTATTAATTAATTAATTTATTAGCTTCGACTCATATTTCCTCGTCTTGCTTCACCGCAGCCAATCTAATTATAAAACTTCAATTTACAACTTTTCTTTCATTAATTTTCAATGTACGAACCGTACTTCCACTATCAGAGGAATCTTCTTCTACTTTTGTCTCAGTTTGTGTCTATTTGTAGATGATGAATGATGTAAAGTAAAGAATTCTCGTCTCTTCCTGATAACTGAGTCAGAAGAGGAAGTAATGAATGGATGATCATGATTTGAATTGTTTTTGCATTTTTATTTGGTTTTGCATCTTTTTGCTTGGTTTTTGCATCTTTCTGCTCAGTTTTTGCATCTTTTTGCTCAGTTTTGTATCTTTTTGATCAATTTTGTATCTTTTTTGCTCACTTTTTGCATCTTTTGTTCAGTTTTTGTAACCTTTTGCTCAGTTTTTGCATCTTTTTGCATCCTTTTGCCCAGTTTTTGCATCATTTTGCTCAGTTTTGCATCTTTTGCTCAGTTTTGCATCTTTTGTTCAGTAGTTGCAACCTTTTGCTCAGTTTTTGCATCTTTTTGCTCAGTTTTCGCATCTTTTTTGCTAAGTTTTCGCATCTTTTTTGCCCAGTTCTGAATCGTTTTGCTGAGTTTTGCTTCACTTTTTGCATTTTTCTATTCAAATTTCATGTTTCAAACATCCGTTAAACGTAATTTATTATTTTTTAACAAGAAAACTCTTTAATGAAAACCGCTCTTCATTAAATTAACTTTAACCGTAAATAGTCTCGGATATTGTCAACGTGACGAATCAAACGACTCGAAAAACTCTTCATCCTCTCCACATCTTGATGATCCGTAATGTTCATTAATTTCCTTTAATTTAAATCCAATTAATTTTTTCTCTCTTCATCTTATTAGAAATTTATTCGAATTATTATTATAAAATTTGTAGCTCGGAAGTCGGATTTAAGAAGAAATAACTTTTTTTTTCTTCTTTCACACTTCACTTTTAAGCTGAAATTTATATATAAACAGAATGTAGGAAGCTTTTGGGGTCTTAATATATCAAGCTGAATGAAAATTAATTAGAAAATTTCAACTGTCAACATTTTGTTTCATGTTTAATTAATTCTGATGTATTTTTCTTTTCTTATTTATTTCTAGGTGAGTGCAAGATTAATTCAGTCTTATATCCATATTCATATAAATGATTGTGAATGGACATACAATGTTGCAATTTAATAAATGTATGGATGCAAGGTGTGTAAACAAAATAAATTCTCGATCTGACGTTGCTTATTGATGTCACACGATACATCCCACGGATTCTTTTCTCATCGGATGGCCCTTTTCTCATAATTTGTGCAAAAATGGTAAGAAAATAGAGCTAGTAAGGATGATGTTGAGATTATTGAGGTAAAAGAACGTAGTTCTGAATATTGAGGTTTTTAGAAGCAGTTTTTGATGATCAAAACTGTACTTGGTTTCAAATTAGAAATTTATTGTAGTTGTGTACCCCTTTCTCCTATAAATTAAACCAGTCTTAATTATTTTGATCAAATTTTTTAAGATTCTGTTTAAATATTAATATTTTTTGAAAAATCGTAGATTTGCACCTCTCTTGTTGAAAAAATGGCGTACTCTCACACCCCCTTTTTAAAAAATTTCATACTTCTACACCCTTTAAATATTAATTTTATAGTTTAACGCCCTTTAAAGCTCAAATCTCTTAACATCGTATTTTTCCAAAAGTTTTCAAAAATGTTCATAGTTCAACACCCTTTATAGCTTAAATTAGCGCTAACGCTTCTCAAAATGACCATTATAACCCTCAATTCAATTATCATCCTTACAAAAACGAAGTAAAAAATTCACAAGAAAACAAAATTCTTTCCTCATTTTTGATTTTATTCACAAGTTTATTTATAAAAGTCGTGAAATTTTGTAAGACGAAAGAAAAATTTATTTTCACTGCCAACTGATATTCAATATGTATGTTCACAGATATTTCTGACTAATTGCGATGATATTCACATTCAAATATCCCACACACAATGAAAACTGGAAAATGCCAATTAGGTCTTTGAGCTATTTAATTAAATTTGTAGGAATTGATGACTTAAAGAATTTCATTTGAGATTGTCAATGGAAAAAATTTGAAAAATTCGAAAGATTTGTGATTGAATTTCAAGGAAAAAAAAAGAAACTAGCTGGTAGGAAGTTTCATCATTACATGTTCGTATCTATTGTATATGCCAGTGTCTATCTTCTCTTAAATTGTCTCAATGCGGGATAGCTAAGCTGAGCAAGAAATAATAGAGAATTTCCATCTAATTAATTAATAATAAAGACGCGAAATTTTTACTTTCTTGTTCGTCAAGCATCCAGAAAGGCAAATAAACAACAACGTTAATGCGGAGGGCCTTTTTTGTTTATTTTAAAATAAATTCAGAGATTTTCTTAATTATAAAATGAGTTTTTTTTTGGAATAATATTTTTGAAATGAAATTATTAAAGAGAATTGAGCGCTTCAAAACTCACGAAA